GGCTAATATGGGGTACATGAGATCCTGTCTCAATAAAATAATATTTAAAAGTAAATAAAGATTTTTGATCTAGGCATGGTGGCACATGCCTTTAATCACAGTACTCTGTAAGTTCAAGGCCAGCCTGGTCTACACAGTGAGCTCCAGGCCAGCTGAGGCTACAAGGAACCCTGTCTCAAAAAGACCAAAAATAATAATAATAATAATAATAATAATAATAATAATAATTTTAAAACAAAAACAGAAAGGAAGCTAGGCATGGTGGCACATGAAATCTCAACACTCAGGAGGCTGAGACAGCTACACAGCAAGCTCCAGGCCAGCCAGGGCTACATAGTGAGACCCTCAAAACACCTCAAAAAGACAAAACAAAAAATTTAGAGGGAGTCCAGTGTACTTGGGACAGGACTATAGTCCCAGTACTTGGTAGGCTGAGGCAGGAGAACTGCTTGAACTCATTTAAGATGTGAACAATATGCATGCACACACACGTGTGTACACACATACACACACACACACACACACACACACACACATACACATCCTCCACAGAGATGGGGAGGAGTACTGTGACAGAGCTAGGCCTCATGAAGCCTCACAGCCTGTGTTGAAGGCATCTTTCAAATTGGACTTCTGGCCTCCTTGAGCTAGATGCTAGGTGTGAATAGGGTCTCTGCCTTCTCACAACGATCTGCGCTTCTCCCATCTGTAAGCATTTGGCCTGAGCACACATCCCAAACTCGGGTTCTCCTGTTCTATCTACAATGCAGGATGGGTCCTGAGGTGCATTTCCTGATGGCTGAATCAAAAGGACAAGAGTCTCTGGAGAGAGAACACAAAGAAAGGCTTGGGGGCCCACATGAACAATGGCATGGTTAGTATGGCTACCAGTGCCTGAACCTGTCCATGCATGACAAACCCTTACCTGTGCAGCCATACAACCCCTTAAGGCACATCACCTCAAGTGCTCACTTTACAGGCAAGGAAACAGACTCAGAGAGGCTGAGTAGCTGAGCTAAGGTCACAAAGAAAGTGGAGGGGCTAGGATGTGGACCCAGGTCTGATAACAGGCCCCTGAGCCTCCCTCCAGAAAAAAAGGAACTATGGGAGGAGGGATAGAAGGCATAGTAACCTCCAAAGGGCATATGGAGAAACTGGGGAGGAAGCGCCTCAACAATCCATCTGGTTCCCTGAGTGAGTCCTTCAAATGTCCTGGGCCCACTAAAGGAGGCTCCATTACCTCTACTCCTTACCATCTATGAACCAGCATGAGTGCAGTTTCAGGGGTCTGCCCTAAAGCATTCTAACCACATCACTTCTGTGGCAACATACCAGCATGTGACCCTAGAAAGTACCTCAATACCTAGTAGCCCCAAGGTTTATGATCTATACAATGGAACCAAGACAGACTCCAACCCCACAGGGAGGCACCAGTGAAAGAAAAGACACAAAAGGCCCAGCACAAGCCCCTGAAGGAGCAGAGGAAGTAGAGGCATACATCTCTAGTTATCTCCCTCAGAGACATATTCTATTTATTTTCTGATCTTTTTAAAAATATTATTTTCATTTTATGTGTATGAGTGTATTGCCTGATGTATGTGAGTGCACCTGTGTTGTGCAATGCTGGAGGTCAGAAGAGGGTGTCAGATTCCCCTGGAACTGGAGTTAAGGATGGTTTGTAGCCGACATGTGGGTTCTGGGAATTGAATCTGGGTCCTCTGCAAGAGCAGTCAGTGCTCTTAACTGGTGAGCCATCTCTTTTTTGATCTCTTAAGACAGGTCTCCTGAGCCAGGCATGGTGGTGCATGCCTTTAGTCTCAGAACTCGGGAGGCAGAGGCAGGCGGATCTATGTGAGTTCAAGGCCAGCCTGGTCTACATACCCAGTTCTAGGCCAGGCCAGCTGGGGCTACAGAAAGACTCTGCCTCAAAAAGGCCAAAAAAAAAATTTAAAAAAAATGACAGGGTCTCCCTATGTAGGCTAGGCTGGCTCAAATTTGCAGTGATCTTCCTGCCACTGCCTCCTGAGTGCTGGGATGACAGCGATGTACCACCACACTCAGCCTCCCAATAACCAAACTGCATCTCTGTATGTATTTATGTGGTGTAATAAAGATTACTTTCATTAACAAAAAAATTCAGGGGCTGGAGAGATGGCTCAGTGGTTAAGAGTACTGGTTGCTCTTGCAGAGGACCCAGGTTCGATTCCCAGCACCCACACAGTGGCTAACAACTGTCTGTAACTCCTCCAGAGGAATCCAGTACCCTTTTCTAACCTCTTCAGGCATTGCACAAAATGGGTGCACTTACACACAAAGGCCATACACTCATACACACAAAATAATAAATTATTTTTTGGGTTTGTTGCATTTTTTTCTTTTTGCCAGGGGAACACACAAGGTTTCTATACATAGCCCAAGCTGATCTCAAATCCAAAATCTTCCTGCCTCAGTCTCCCCAGTGCTGAAGACTATATGTATAAGCCACCACACCCATTTTCCCTGCCTCCCCCTCCCCCAACCCAACCTCTTTTTGTTGATGAATTGTACTGTGCTATCTGGCTGTGAGTTTTTTTTTCCTGTTTCTTTGAGACAAGGTCTAGCTATGTATCTCAGGCTGGTCTTAAACTCATCCTGGCCAAAATCAGTAGCCTGTATTACCCAGAAGTGAGCTCCAAAACAACCACAATTGAAGCCAAAACACAGCTCACACCTAGATGTCTAGGAGAACTCTCTTCAGTGACAGAATGTCCCACCTCATAACCACTAACCAGAGTTGCCAGAGGACCTGACTGAAGTATGGCCCTCTACACAAAAGAGCTGGAGACACAGAAGACAGGCATGCCAAGAGTCCTACAACTCACAGCTCTGTCAGATAGGAACCCTGGGCCATATGAGCCAGTTTCTTCTAGAAGTCAAATGTTGAAAGAGAAGAAAGCTGGGGGAAGCTGAACCAGTAACCTAGACCCAGGCCTTTAACTAGCTATACTACACAGACCTCATCTGGATCCTAATTTACTATAAAAAAAAAACCTCGTAGTCTGGTAGTATATGCCTGTAATCCCAGCATTAGGGAGGCTGAGAAGGAGGATCAAGTATCCAAGGGTAGACTAGGCTATGTGAGACCCTGTCTCAATAACCCCCCAACAAAACAAACTAAAAAAACAAAACAAAATGGAGACAAACAAAAATGTATGCACACTGGACATCCAATAGAACCAAGAAAGCAGGTATGTTTGGGGTGTTATACGTTTAAAACACTCAGATAAAAAACTAAGATGGGGGATTCTGGCTCAAAACATAGGGTAGGAATGACAAGGCAAGAAAGGTGAGATTTGTCATTCTGTTCTGCCTACTTTTCACAACAACTAGACTTTAAACTCTCCATAGTACAGCTAAAACCCAGCTGAGGAGCAGCACCTTGCCAGTAATGTCACCTTTCTTGATAAGCAGCATGGTGCTAAACCAAGAAACACTGCTCTCAAACCAGATGTCCTCCCACCAGAGCACAGATGTTCCACTAAGGAACCACACACAGAGGAGCCTAGTGATAGCCGGAAAGAAGGCAATGCTCCTGGTGTACCTTAAACACCAGCATGGAAGGCTGCTGCCTGTATCCTTGGTCTCTCCTTAACTGGGTCCTCAGAGAAGGCTAGCCTATCTGATCCCCAGTAGTTTGCTGAGTGGACAACCCATTGAGCACAGATTAGCCTATGGAACCAGCAGAGGGACCTCAACAACTGCCCCAAGACCCCAGTTTCCTGTCAGTTCACCCCCCACAGACTTTCAAGTCTTCCAGAGGCAGCATTAGAGGTAGAAGTAAAAATGTGGCTTCTTATCCATTCCTCACTCACACTCACCTGCCCACAAATGTTCCCACACAGTGTGAGAGGACAGCACCTTGGGAATCCTGCCAACTTAGGCTGGGCCAGGCTATCCACTCTCAGGGCAACAGCTCAAGATACAGCACTTTTCAGAAAGACCACAGACCTGTAGGCCCTCATTCTTCATTTCCTGGACAGCTCCTAGTAGGCCAGCAGGGAAGGGGGAAGGGGAAACCAACAGGAGCTGAAACTGCCAGCCAGCAGAGACAGAGGTGCCTTCACCCACAGCATCCAGAAGCAAAGGGTGGGGTGGGTCTGATGTAATACTCTTAGCCCTAATAGCTGGCGCGGGGGGGGGGGGCACATCTCCAGAGACAGCTGCGCCACACATGCTCCAGCGCTAAATAGCACAATGACAGGCTCCGTGTCGGGTCCCAACCTCACCTCCAAAAGACACAGTCGTGCGCCCCCCCCCCATTAAAAGTAACCCCATGGTGAAATCAACCAAGAGCATTACAAAACCTAATGCAAGGGCCCATCCTGGTTTTAATAGGCCTGAAGAATGTAACAAGATCCGCAGGGGATTGGAGCAGGGGCTTCTGGAAGGCTGAGGTGCCTAAAAGTCCCCAGGAAATCCAAGGGGTTGTGATTAATAGGCTCCAAGACAAATGTCTGCAACCTTATCCTCTGCACCCTTCATCCAATTCTGGTCCCCCGCAGAAGCCCAAACCTTATGCTGTCGTCTAGAATGTGACATCACACTCCAAGCCTGTAAAACAAGGTCTTCACTGTACACCTCCAAAGAGTTAGACTAAGAGTTAATAGCGATAATCTATAACAAGAGCCTGGCCAAGCCTAGTTCAAGGCACTTTCTCAGTGAGACTGCCAGAATGCAAAACTGCCCAGGTCCCCTCAATGATTTAATCCCTCCCGGCAATTACCCCCTCCCAATGTTCCCAAGATAATGCAGAACCACCAGGGACCCACACCCATCTACCCTCTACCCACTTCGCACTTCCCCTGAAGTGCTCACACGTGGCGAAGTCCAAGCTACAGGCCGCTGGACCCACCTCCTTGTCCTTTCTTAAGTATGGACAATTCTTACATATCCATCAAATCCTTATCCGGACCCCTCGCGAGACAAAAAAACGCCAGCCCCAGGCTGCATTCCAATTAGGCTCTAATTAACGTATTTATTCTTAGACCGCCTATCACGCCCCGCACGCTGTCACAGCGGAGCTCCGGAGAGGAGGACCTTTTCACAGAAACCGGGATTTTTGGCTACCCCTCTGGGCCACGCCGGCTGCGGTCCAAGGTTTTCCTTATTTAGTCGGGCCGGCATCCCTGCTCCAGCAGCCTCGCCCTGGGAGCGGTCTGGCCTGGCTGCGTCTCGCGATCCGAGCTCGAAACCGCGCCCACGCCCTGCGCAGCTCCTGGAGGGCCCTCTCTGCCTCAGCCACGCACTGGTCGGGTGCCACCAAGATGCTCAGGCCAGACAGCCCGCCGCCATGGCAACCACAGCCCGCCCGCACAGCCTGGGCGCAGCTACTCACAGCGCGGTGGCGTCCACCGGGATACGCAGCGCGGGCCCAAGCGTCCGCAGCCACCGGCCAGAGCAGTTGACCCGGCAGGCCGCATCGGGTGCTGGACTGCAGAGACAGGGGGGCGGGCAAGGCCCGCAGCCCGGCCTGGGATCCCCCGCCAGCAACCCGAGCCACAGGCCCAGGCCTAAGGCCAGCGCCAGTCGAGCGGGCGCTCCGGGCGGCATCGTCAGCGGAGCGCGCGCATGGCCCCGGCTCCCCGAGGCCCTGCGCGCCGGCGGCCGCAATTCAGGAGGAACCCGCGGACCTCATGGTAAGGCGCAGGGCCGAATCTGGAGGCGGCCGTGGCGTGTCTGCTGCTCGACAGCGGCTCTGCGTTCCCGGGCCAGGCCGCACCTCAAGGTCTCGGCCGCCCGCTTGAGCCCTAGAGCTGCACTGCAGGCCCAGCGCGAACTCCTCCTTCTCCGCCAGTCCTCCCGCCCCCAGCTCGGCACTCTGCCAAGCCTTCTCAGGCTCCGCCCCTGCGCCGCTTTGCCCGTAGTGGGCGGAGCTAGAGGAGGGGCGGCCCCACAGGCTCCGCCCTCCACTCTGCAGTGCCAGTCGTGGGCGGGGCTAGGGAAGGGGACGAGGTTGGAGAGACTAGCGGGCTCCGCCCCTAGCGTTGCGATGTCTACAGCCAGGCGCCGGGGCGGGTGGAGAAGACTCCACCCCTTTTGCCGCAGAGCAGAGAGGTCCCACCCATCGCAGGGCAGGGATGGGGGTGGGGGATGGGG